AGAGGCAGAAATGAACAGAAAAAGAAAAACATGGAGAGTTTTTCAAATTCGTGTTTTAGGAAAACAGCTGTACGAGATATGTTAAAGCTAAATTATCTGGTAGGAAAGATATTAAGTCCAGAATGCAGGATGTGTATCCTAGCAAGAAATCACATTGTAAATACATGTACCAAGTTGGCTGCTGTATAAAGCAGGGCATATTAAAATCAAAGTATCATGCATTAGGGCTCTACAGGAAATATGAAGTATAAGTTACGAAGTGTTACTACCACAGTTCAGGGAAAAAAAAATAGAAAAATAGGAATATACAAATTGTGGGATGCTTCTTTTTTTTCTAAGAACTATATAGTAAAAGACCAGATATGGCAAAAAGGAGAGAGGAGAATACTTCATCATGGGCTTCTCTTTCCATTTAAGGAGAATATTACATTTAAAACACAAAAGATTGCAAAAATAAAAGGTCAGTTAAAGCAATAATTGTTTGGTGATGTACAAGAGACACGATTGTTCAAAGATGGCTAGCGAGCTATATATCCTGTTCCACTGACCACTCAATCAGGATAGGATACTGGTATAAATACCAGATTGGGAGAATGGTTGCTAGCTAACTCTGGAAGATGAAATAGTTGCCTGCCTGTCTCCTTTGTTAGCTAACATATATTTATGTGCTTTAGGAGACACCTAATCCCATTCAAATTTTATTCAGAATGAAGCCCCTTTAACGGTGCACACCCAAGTTACCTGTCTGCTATGGCATGGGGGGCAGGGCTGCACTTAACTTGGCCAGCTCTGCACCAACCAGAAGGATGCCTCCAATTTGCCTGGAACCCCAGGGCAACAGGCCAAAAGAGCACCAGAGACTGGAGCATGGGGGAACAGCAGCCAGGATACTGGAAGTGGGTCTGCCTGTTCTCACCCCTGCTAATGGGCCCGGGGATGAGGCGTGTCCTCCCTGGGTAAGAGGACACTCTTCCAACTGTTGGGGAGTATGATCTGGTGTGTTCCCTACAGCTGGATGCCCTCTGTTTGGCAGCTGAGGAATCAGCTGCCTCTCTCTCAGTTGGGACTTGTGGAGAAGCTGTGAGCACTTTTTCTACCATGAACACTCAAGAGACACCATAGGAGGGCCTTCTGGCAGGTGGAGCCAAGCAGGACCCTACTTGTGTTGCAGCAAGGGCCAAGTGCTCACCCAGGAGCCCATACTGAAGGACCTAAGCCCAGAGGGGCTCAAAACAAGTGGCCGCAGAAGGCCCGCTAGGGGGAAACAGAGGAAGAGCCTCCCCAAACAGGCCCCCAGATAGTACAGGCCCATCAGGAGCATATGAGGATAGGGAGCATGCCAGCAGGTAGCTGAGGGGAGCATTGGCCTCACATAGGCATGATAGCGACTGCTGTGAGGCAAAGCCAGACCTGGCCTGGTGCCAGATCAGGAAGGGGCCCACTCAGTGAAAACATCTCGTCAAGAGGCAAAAGGGACCCAAGAGTGGGGATAAGAGGGGTGCACAAGGCACAAAGCAACCCATGCCTCCCAAAATGGGGAAAGGCTTGGGGCAGCAAGACATCAGTGCCCTGCCTGGCTGCCAGGTCTGAACCATTTGACCATATCTGTTTAGTTTTTCCTTTTTGCAAAACCAAAGGCAGTGGTTGGATCCACAGAATCAAGCCCCAACAGTTTCCCTCCAGGGAAGAGCAGGTAGCAACACACTCAACATCTTAGCAAGAGTGGCAACAACACTCAAGCAGAAAGTGGCGGGGTGTAGGGCAGAAGATACACCATGATCACACCTGGCCCACAGAGAACCACTGTATCACCTCCAGGTGAGTCCAGGTTCACCTATAGGAAAATCAAGTCATAGCGGGTGAGTGGGTTAGGTGTGACATGGCCCCAGTGATGCAGAGAAAACCAGGATCCCTGCTACTGAGCCACAATCACATTATAGGCAGTGAGTACAGACAGGTAGTTACCTGTATCGGTCTGAAGTCAGGCAGAAGGCAGGGCTATGAATTTGATGGCTAGAAAATAATGTTTAAAGATCTGCTTTAAGAACTGGCTTGTAAGTAGAGTAGATACTGTATTAGAACAATGGTCCAGGGGAACAGCAAGAGTTAATTTGTTTCTAAAAGTCTGTTTGTGACAAAGAACCATGTTCTCAGCCTTTTAGCGGACACTGTGTCTGAAGCTGACAGATAAGCAGGCACATATATCCTGGGAAATTGAAAACATGCAAAACAATGTGTTGCTGAAAATACATGACAAAGATAAGGGACCCTGCAGTACTGGCATTAGGTCACAGTGATCAGCCCTGGGATTTCTGGTTCTGGTGCAAGGACCAAATTAGGAGGCCAGGGATGCCCAAATTAAGATGCCAGTAAATGTCCAAATTAAACGTATGCATGTGATGGATTTGTGGAAACAAAGGGTGCCTATATACATGCAAAGAGGCTGCTCTGACACACTGTAAAAATGGAGTCTGCTGGAGCATGGTAATTACTGCACTCCATCAGGCTCCAGTGTCATGTGCATCAGTGTCCCTGCACTGAAAAAATGTTCAATGAGCTTTAGTTAAAGTGCCCCCACTGTCATTTTTAAGTGCAGGGATGCTGATATACATGATGTTCTTGGCCCTCAGAGCTGCTCTAATTTAAGTTGCCCCCCTCACCCCAACTCCTGGAACAAATGTATAAACACCCAAAGAATTATGCTGACAAAACAGAATGTGGATGGTATGATGACCACAGGGATACCAATCAACAGTACCCAGAAATGAAGAGTCATCAGGAGGAAAAGAATATAAAAGAAGGGATTTATAGAACAGTGGGGGGATTCCAAGGCCACCATGGGCCTTGGCCCTCAACCTCCAAGACTTCTGACATTCAAGCAAAGAACCACAGAGTGATGCTTGTGTACTGGCCAGATGTACTGTCTCTCTGTTGGGAACCCTGGAACGGGTAGATAAGTATGATCGGGGGTGTGGGGTTATTTTGTTTGCCTGCAGTACTCCTCTCTGCTATCACTGTGTATCAATAACATTTTCCTATTATCAAATGGAAGAAGTTGTGGTCAGTCTGAGGGTTTCAGTCTGCTCAGAACAAGGTATCAGGACTGGGTCATAAACCTAGTACCAACTATAGAAGTTTATGCATTTCTGGATGATTTATTCTCTAAAGTGCCACTCTGCCCTGCCTTTTGCACTATCAATGATGAAAAATTTGGCAACTGTGATGTCTTATGGATACTCTTTGGCATAGCAAAGACTTGGGGCAGCATTATATAGTCTGCTCTGATGTTTATGAAGAGCTATCTAGCTATAATAATTAGTTTTTCCTTTCTACTTGCAGAACTTTTATTTTGGAGTGGTGGGAATAGAAAGAGTTTGTTTGAGAGCTATTATACCAAAGAGACCAGAGGATTAGCCTTTCAAAGCTGGAGTTACTCATCAGCTGAAGGAAAAGAAACAAAGCAATAAAATTAAGAGAAGCTACCAGTAAAAACCACCAGCAGCAAAATCATAGTTAAAGGTCTTAATAACATGGTCTGAAGGAATTGAATTGCCAACCTGTTCCATCACATAGGCAGAATTTCTGAAGTCGACAACTCTGGAGCACAGATTTGTTATGAATGAGGGAAAAGCTAAGCAGAGACACAGATAAAAACTTTGTCTTGATGTAATTTTCTATTTTCATATTTCATAAAAACTTTGTCTTGATGTAATTTTCTATTTTCATATTTCAGGTATATTTAGTCATTGACAAACCCTGAGTGGCACATTCTTTATTATTATTATTTTTTACATGCCAATATAAGTTTAGAAAATGGTAATGTCAAAATGCTGCCATCTCTTCTAAGTGGTAACATCTCAACTTGATGGAAGTTTAATTATGACATTACAGCCTGATGCAAACCACGTGAAGCCAAGGGAAAGTTTCCATTGACTTCAATGTAATTATGATCAGAGGTACAATAAGATCTCATAAGCAGCAAAAGTCGATGTGATTTCACTACATGAAGGGGAACAAGAGGTGGAGAAGCCTTTCTGGGGGTTCAATGCACGTGGGATGAGCTGCAAGCTTGAACAAAAAAAAAAAACAACTTTAAAAGGATTCAGGGAGTTCTGAAGGGAGTAGGGGCAGGTCTAACATCAGTGTTAATCCAGAGACCAAGCTCCCAAAATTTGTTGGTGAGAGGGAAGTAATTATGCTTCCTAAACATGAAGCTTTGGCAATTGCTCCACAATCTGATAAATATGATTTATTTCTCTCTTTTCTCCATGGAGAAGGTTAACTATAATCAATTACATAAATCATATTTTGTTTTCACAATAAAAGTTTCACAATAAAAGTTGGAGGGAGCTGGGGTTAAAGAAGGCACAGAGGCTTTGTATTTCTTTTACATGTTATTATTAAGAAATATTTACAAAGATCTTGATCCAATTCACTCTGAAGATGGTGAACTTGTCTTGTCATTGGCCCAAATTGGGACTGAAGCAATTTTGCCACTGAACTAGTAGGCAAAATGTTTTGTACAGGTACGTTTATGTAATAATGGCATACTTACATAATTAGGTGTTCATTTTCTAAATCAAAGTATGTGAAGGATCATTTATTTTAATAAATAAACTAATTCTTCAGTTTGAAGATTATATGTTTTCCCTAGTGATCCTATCAGAGATGACAGCTGAGATGAGAGTTATAAAAATAGTTAGTAGTGGAAATAAATACATAAAAAACATTTTTGGCTCTTGATGTAAAGATATACAAAAATACTAACCACCCGCCTGTTAAAGTTAGCAGGTTGAGAGATGCATATTAGGGACCAGCAGCAACCTCAGTTCCCAACAATTTTAACAACACTTGGTCTCTGGTTAATCACATAGTAAGTAAGCCAAATGTGCAATACCTGTTTAAGGCTTCAGTAGCATTCACTGTCAAGAACAATTTCATTTAATAGCAGAGACTGCTCTTGCTTGCCTTTTTCTATTCATTACCATTCTGAAGGATACTCAGTAGTAGTATAATATGTGATTCTGCAACAAATTGAGCTTGACTGCTCCCATGTATGTAACTCTGTAAAATAAAAAGAAAATATAAAAAAAAAATCATTAAGCCTTGAGAACACTGAAAATGGAATGATTATTATTTGTGTCTATTAAAATAAAACCTGCCTTGCAAAATGGTGCATAAGCAATAAGATATTTAAGTATAAAGCTAGCATGAAAAGCTAAAAATACTTAAAGCGGAGCTAATATGCAAATAAATATAATATGCTAGAATGACCATGCAGATATTGTACATCACACACAGTTAAAATCTGATTTGTATTTGTCATATTTTTTCTACACTTCACAAACTGAAAGAGATTTCAAGTTCTTCTTAGAAGTAATAGTTTTGAGATACTGCCTAACACTGTTTTTAGCCACTGCTTTGTTGCGTGGGGAGATGATGGGATTAAGGATGTACAGAAGTATGGCTTTATTAAAAGTTCAGTGTTAAAGCATGCCAGAGGAACCTAGATTGACCAAATTTTGGACAGAATTTGCGAAACCTGGGAGATGTTGCTGTCAGGTTTGACCTAGAAACCACTACACATAGCCCAAGCAAAAGTCTCTGTTATGTAACTAATGCCCATCTGCAATGATAAGGAGAAGACAGTCTTAGATAAAGGAGGCTTGAAAACAAAAGCAGAATTAGTGGACTAGGGCAAAGAGCTGATTTAAATATTAAGATTCACACCCCTAGGTGGGGAGAAAGTATGCTAATGAAACATACATGTATGGAAATGAGATACATAGCTAAAACACAGGTATAGAGACATGCTCAGTAAAGAACTCCTTGCGTCACTCCCTTATAACCAATTAGCAAACAAGAATGCTTATGAAGGTCCAATACTCCTGTATAAAAGATGCTCAGAATTAAGAATCTGTGTGCTTGTTACGTGAAATTATTCCGCTTGCACCTTGTATTGCTAGCAATAAATCTTTATACTTTCACCCCTGGTATCTTTATTGGCTTTTGCATACCGGGCACGATCCCAGACTTGAGCTGGGGCTCAACAGTAGGATGGGGCCACGAGCACCATAAGCCACCTGAACCCTGGATGCTCAACAAAGGAGAAGGTCTGGCCATCCAGAGCAAGCATCTCCCCAATGCTCTAGGTGATCTCGCTCGCGTTGGGAATGCACTCCCCTTTGTCTGTGCCTTTCCGCCACTGGTCCAGGGTGGCCTGCCTCTGCTTCTTGGGGATGGGGGCTTAGGAGAGAGAGGGGGACTTCTTTTTGGGTATGCTCCCACTGGTGCCAGGCTGAGAAGGAACAAGGGCAAGGGGGTGCTGCCTCCTGAGATGAAGCAGCATTGCTGTGGTGGTGAAGTGTTTCTCATCCTTGCCCTGGCTCATCTGCTTTTGGCAGTGCTGGCAGGTAGCATAACTGGAATCATTTGCCATGTCAAAATGATCCCACACTGCACTACCCCTGCCAATTCTGGGGTGAGGGTGGGGATCCTGCCTTATCCCCCTCCTTACCAGGCAGAGGCACAACAGGAGGAGGAGCTCAGCCACCTGCCCCCACAACCTCCTTCAAAGTGCCTTCCAGAAGAGACCTACCTCTAAGGGAACTTCGAGGGGTGTGGAACGCAAACTCAGATCACTGCAAACTTCTATAATTGTACAGTCCTTAGTGTAGACAGAAATGGAGCTTCAGGTGGGTGCCAAGAAATTATCAATTAAGAAGACACAGGGTTGAATTCTGCTAGTCGACATGGCAGCTTTCTAACAATGTAAGTGGCATTTGTAGAACTTGTACACCAGTAGTGATACTATGACCCATGCCATGTAGATAGGTGAGTGTGCACAGGCAGACTGAGTATGAGCACTAGGCTTTGAACTGGCTAGGCACATATATGACTATGTACATGTGCCCATTATGGATGTGCACCTGTATTTAAGTCACAAAAATGTAGCCAGCCAGAAACCCACGGCTGTGGGGAAGGAAGAAGGCAGGGTAGATATACACCCTGTAAACCAGTAATACCCAAAGGATGTGCTGAGACATACTACTATGTTGTGAGAGCAATGGAAGTGTGTGGCAAGCTCTCCCTGTGTGAAGAGGTAAATGCTTTCCAACCCCAACTGGCACCCTGCGCCTACCCCAGCTGCTTCAGTGGCACCTGCAGCTTCTCCTATGGAGACTACTTCTGCCATCTTCCCCCATGTCCCCTGCCCCTGTGGAGCCCGTGTGATGGAAACCTCCTCTTCCCCTGCCCAACAACTCTCCCAGCAGCATGCTCTGAAAGGGCAGGCAGATGCACAGACTGAGCTACATTTTGCAGCCCAGCTCATTCCTTCCACTTCTCCCACCATCCCAGGGTTGGTTAGAGGGGTTGTGTGCATGATCATTGTTGTGTCAGACCCTGCAGGAGCAGCAGGGGCTGCCGTTACCCCCTAAGTTACAGTCCCGG